TCCTAAGTTTTCTTATATTTTATCACTAACTGAGTTAAGTTTGTGCTGATCGAGCTCTTTTTTCAAAAGTTATGATTTTTTTTAAAAAAATGCCGAAAAATCGATTTCTTAAGAATTCCTAGGAAAGTGATTTTTCGGCATTTTTTTAAAAAAAATCATAACTTTTGAAAAAAGAGCTCGATCAGCACAAACTTAACTCAGTTAGTGATAAAATATAAGAAAACTTAGGATAATGGCTGTTCTGGATTTTATCGCACAGTTTCTGAATTGTTAGAATTTTTGCTTAAAAATTCCGAATTTCGGATGATCTCGTTCTTTCATTTTTATCTCTGCAACCTGAGCATGTTGGAAAGTCTCCAAGGGACTTTTGGAAACTACATGCTTTACTCTTTCTAATAAAATTTGAAATGCGCGAAATCATCGTGACGGAAAGAAGTTATGATTTTTTGAAGATGGAGGGACAGAACTTTCGGTTCAACCTAATATTTTGAATGCGAAACAAACATTTTATCCTTGATAAAAAATATAGACTGTTCTTTACGGCATGAAAATGGTCATCAGCTGAGATTTCGACAGATTAATCAAGAACTTCCCGGGGACTTAAATTATAGAAGTTGCCGTGAACTACAGTCTTTTGAAAACTTTCCGCGAACCTTGGATGAAGAAGTTTCGGCAAATTACAATCTTTTAAGAAGTTCCCGAGAGCTTCAGAGCTGAAGTTCCCAGAAACTTACAATGGAGTTCCCCAGGTGACCCGCCGGAGCTTTCCTTAATGTTCGTCGGAATTTTCCGGGTCTGAGTAAGTGAGGTTTGAACCAGGGTCAAGCAAGGGGTGTGGCACACGATCGCTGGTTACGACCCCCCTCCCTGAACTTTATACCTAAGATAGCATTACCAGAGTTGAGAAAGAGGTCAGGCACAAGTCTTTCGCACCCCCCCCCCCCCATCCCTCCCATGAAAGCCCTCAAACGATCCCTTCTTCCTCCGCTCAACCTCTGGACCTCAAAGTGTGACATTCTGAAGGACAACAGAAATATGAAACCTCTCTTTTTTTAGAGAGGTTTCATATTTCTGAGAGCTGTACGCTCCATTTTCTGCAACTGCACTTTACAATCACACGTAATTTGACGGCTGATTTTGATCTGAATGGGCATATTGAAACGACCATAATTTTCTTATGGGTGGGGCGTTCGGCTCCAAATTTCCAATGTAGCAAGAAGAAGCTATGTGCTCAATACTCATACCAGCAATGGAGCGCTTTCTGGATTTTGAAGGCAAGTTAAGGGGGTGCGGCACACCCCCTTAAAAGCTGCGGCCGCCGCAGCTTTTAAGGGGGTGTGCCGCACCCCATTAACTATATCAAAAAAACATTTTTAGCGGACAGTATTTATATGAATCGATAGCGTAAACCTTGTAGATTCCATGGGACCGTTTGGAGCCTGATTCGTCTTCTTAGCTCTGAGTAACATTTGGTGAAAGCACAGCGATCAAAAGCGAAAAATGGGAAAAGCGAGATTTTGGTTGGCTTCTAATTCCACAGTTTGGAGGTCTTCTGAAGCGGGATTCCTGAAGCGGACAAAGAAGGAGTAGTGCTTTGTCTTGAGTGCAAAAACGGATAGCTAATTCAGCTTTGAAACAAAGTTAACCATGTTGGAATTTGACCATTTCAAGCCTAGTATCTTGAATCTTCAGATTTCGCTCACACTTTGTCTACAGGGGTTATTTGACATGCTAATTATGGACAGGATACGAATATCATGTTATCACTATTATCAGATTACCCAGCTACGACACCCTCCCCTTTTGACTCCTCAATACGACCCCCCCAGGTGTGGCGTGCCGCACCCCACGCTTGACCCTGGTTTGAACCTTGCTCTGTTGACTGTGAAACTAAACTACTCTCCTCTGCACTACGGATGACATGTTGATATGCACTCTAGTTGATGGCGAGGCAACATCACGCGAGACAATACATTCAAAACCTCGCGGAAGAACCAGCATGTCAAAGTGCTGCGGAACCGCTGGTGATTTCGGAAGTTCCCGTTTTCTACAAGTCTAACTTGAAAATCCTGCAGAAGTTCTCATTTTCAACGTTTCCACTTTTCCAATAGTAAAATTGTCCTGCGGAACTGCTGCAGTTTTGGCTTGTCCTGCGGAAGTCCCGGCGAATTGTCTGACGAGGGAAGTACTTTCAATGGCCGTGGCTGTTTGATATGAGATGCATATCATCTGAAGCAGCTTCGAACGCTGATTTCAAATCTGCTTTCCGTTTCTGCGGAACGCTCTTCTGAAGGAAGTTATGAAAGCCTGAACATCCTATTTTGGGGGCGCTCCTTGAGTTTGAGGGCGCTGCTATGTGCGTTGGTGGTGCAGTAGTGTAATGATCACTTGCTGACATTGAATGCGAGAGGTTGATGGTTCAATCCGGTGGAGAGCGAGTCATTTTATATTTCGAATGTGAGTTTAAAAGCACTCTAAATCTTCTGCAGACACTTACTGTAATGCCTTACAGGGGAAGGATACTTGGATGCCGTAGCCATTCATAATGATTTGTATACCAAAAAATGCGCTTTTGAATGCTGGTTCGTAGACTGTCTTTCATATCTGCGAAACGATAATCTGAATAGAGTTATGATTTTTTTTCATTAAAAAAATTGCGTTCCTACGGAGGGTCAAAATCATCAATAAAAAAATTTTCTCTCCTTTCCAAATGCTGAGTATGATCCAGATAGTCTAAATAAATATTACGACGTCCAAAATTTTCTTCAGTAGCACAAATGGTAGGCTAGATCAAATCTGTTGATTTTTACTATCCAAAGGCTAAATTTTCAAGGAAAAAAGTTCATAGTCTTCAAAAGATCGTTTCGCAGATTTCGAGCACAGATTCAGAATCTGCATTCGAAGGCGTATTTTTTGGTATACAAATCATTAGGAATGGCCGCGGCATCCAACTATCCTTCCCTTGTTAGCACAAACAGGAGAGAACATCTTTTCGACTAACGATAGTGTGCATTTTTTGAGCTTTGTATGGTGACAAACGTGCTAGGCCATGTTTGGTCCTGTTTTACTAGTAAGGAAGTCAAATAGAATTTCAGACTCTCATTACAAGCAGTTTTGCAAGAAAATTCTCTTTCTAGGTCACTTATGCCAAAGGCATTACAATAAGTTTCTGCAGGCGATTTAGAGTGCTTTCAGACTCACATTCAATAAGCAAATAGTTCGCTCTCCACCGGATTCGAACCATCAACCTCTCTCCTTCAATGTCAGCAACTAACTACTACATTACTGCACCACCACTGCACATAGCAGCGCCCTCAAACTTAAGGAGCGCCCCCAAATTAGGATGTTCAGGCTCTCATAACTCTCTTCAGAAGAGTGTTCCGCAGAACGGAAAGCAGATTTGAAATCAGCATTCGAAGCTGCTTCAGATTATATGCATCCCATATTGAAAGGCCACGGCCATTGATAATATAATACTTCCCTTGTGAGTAAGGAATAAGAATTAAGGTCAATTCCCATTTCTGCTTTTGGTAAGCTTAGATAATTCTGTATATTTAAACTTTTGGAGGATAATTGCAACACTGGGTTCTCTAACAGCTCATGTCTCAACTACTCTATGTGAATTTGTTGTTATCCTGTTATAACGTCAGAAAAAACAAAGCTACAGTTTTGTACCAACATCGTTCAGATCTTAGGCTTCAATAATTAATTTAATAGCTTTTTAGAGTT